ACAAGTGCTGAACTGTCAGTTGAAGTGAACGAAATTGTTGAACCGTTCATTAATCTTTGGATGACATTGTTAAGAACGAACGTCCTCTGAAGAAGCTTTGCGTACTGAGGAATAGTAAACAATTGCTTTAACATAATATTGACTCAATAGTCCATTGATTTTTCTAAACGGTGAAACTAGTAAATAATAAAGCCAACTAAATGGAAAGTCAAACAGATACACACAAATAATAATAGTGTAATGGTTAACGTTGGTTGGATGACTTACTCAGTATACGATAAACCGGAGAACCATGTACCTATTTATACTCAATAATTTTGATGTTTGATTATATTTCCTTGAAAGAGCTTGGACCAGATTGCCAGGCGAAACGTCGGATTTACTTCAAATTTATTCGCTGAGATTTTGCAAATACATTCTTCCTCTCACATCAACTCGGCACCCAAATACTGTGAAACTATTCGATCAAATTAAGAAGAAAGTTCTTATTGAATAGTATAATGGTATGTTGTGATTTGAGTAAAACATTGATTAGAAAACCTCTGGATTCTGACCTACTGACTGACTAGCACTTTGCTCTTTGTAAGATCTAAAGGTTTTGGATACTCACTAAAGTGCTAACTTAATCCAACACTTCAGTTCTCAAAGCTTCTATAGCCGATATCAACCCATACTATGAACGGTCGTCCAAGTGCTACTCGAATCTACCAACATAAGTTTTAAAATATATCGGTAATCCTTTTTGTCAGCTGATTTCTAATGACTTGAATACTTTAGCTATCAGGTAATACAGTTTCACACTCATGTTTTACATATTATTAATCATGAAAAATGATTCATATTGTTCCCTTGTACCTGGTTGATACGATTTCTCGGTAGTGGACTGAGTCGCGCTAATTGACTATTGAATATCACTTTACAAGATACTGATTTTAAAGAAATGGGAACTTTTGTATTTCTGTAATGATTCACTACTACTACGACTTCATAATTTCTTAAAGATGAAAGTTTTAGCAAAAATTTTGGGCGTATCACTAAAACCAAATTTGATGGAGTGTTGGAGGCGTTGCAAAAATTTTTTTTCTTTCTCATATAGAATAAATAACAAAACAAGCGTCAATGTTTTGATGGGAAGGTTTTTAAATGAAAGTTATGACTCAATTCTTTCTCCAATTATTTTTTTGGTGTTTCCTTTATTTTCAACATTGATTTGTCACCAACTAACTATGCTATAATATGAAATATTTTTAATGTAATGGAAATCTTAAATTTATTGATTTACTATAATTGAAGCCCTGGTGAGTTCAACTTATTCCTTTTGATTTATGGAAGTCATCTTCTGGTTAGCTAATTATTCGTATAGTGTTTAATTTGATTAAGTTAGATTTCTCACTGCTATTAGTTTTATCGTTCTGAATTCTTTGCTTTCAGTCTCGTTTATTATCATCTAGGATGATGTAAAGTAGGACAATGTGAAACGATTTGAATTGTTACTACATTCTAAGCCCGGTTTTTGTGCATAAATGAATAGAGTTTGTTGTAATGTGTTTTGTTGAAAATGCTTTTTCAATAAACTGAGTAATATCATATTGAGTCAGTAAATCCAAACTCTTCTTTCACAGACATGCTGTTATACTACTTAGTAGTCCAAAGCATTCAAGCATGGTTTTTTAGGATACCAATCTCTCCCTAACTATTGATCTAAAGATCGAAGAAACGAAAAAATCATCAAGGTTGTGTTATCTTGGTAGACAATGACTAAAATAGATTCACACAACTTTTGTCCGTTCAGAATCCCGGTATTCACATGTTTCAATTGTCGAGAGTTTTCCAACTTACCTAGTTCAAACCTATATTTTTATCAACTTTGGACAGTAGACATTGGCTTTGACCCTCTCATTTTTGTGAAACACCTATGCTAAGGATGTAAATAATACTCATCTGGTCATGACTTTAAATATATGATCATATTAAAGTATTTTGAAAAGAAAATCTGCATCTTTCTACTCTGAAAACTATCCTTCTTAATAGTTGGAATACGAAAACCTGATAAGTAAATATTAGAAGTTAGTCGTATTAGCTTCTTCTACATATTTTTCTCTGTTTCAGCTTTTTTTTAGTGTTTCTTTACTCATTTAATAAAACGTTTTATTGAAATTTATCATATGACGTTAATGGCTGTCTACAAATATAGGATATTACATTTAAAGATATGATAACTGAATTTTTCACTTCACGCATCGATCAACTAAAATAATTCCATTACACTATAATAAAACAAAAGGTTAAATATATAATTTATTTGTATACTGCCTTTTTAAAATATAATCTATTTTTTGTTCATAACCTTATTATAAAGTACTTATAATTAGTATAAATAGTTTAGAAAATACCTATTGTTAAAGTCATCAAAGTGATATATGTATGTACGAATTGGTTAAGAAGATTGACCTCAGTCAACAGACGACTCAAAGTCGTTTGAAATAACCCACATACCTTTCAGTCTTTTATTGTAAACAGTTTGCTACTTGTCAGTTATTTTCACTTGCTTAATATATACTTCTTTATCTCCATAGTATGCATGTATTTTTTCCTGTTACAGTGACAACTTTTATTTTTAAATTCACTTAGTATTGTTTACTTGAATCTTTCCATTGATGTTTAGGACTAAAATTGATTAGTCTCTTATTGGCATATGTTCATACTGTGCGTATTACCTCGATATTGCATTAATTCACAAGCATTATAAACAAAGATAGATACTGGCTAGCAGTGGAATCCAAGACTCGCGTTTCGTCCCATTGTACAAGCAAATGGCTATCCGGACTAAGTATCTAAGTGGATAACGCGACGGCGTTTGAAGCGGACGGTGCAGGATTTTGAGTCTCAGAGTGGACATCAACTCTGAGATGCAGGTACATCCAGTTGACTTGTCTCAAATAGGACGAAATGCGTGTCCTCGATTCCACTGCTAGCCACCATCCATTTTTGTTTTTTATTTTTGTTCGATATTGAATAAAGAAAATTTAGAAGAAAAAAGAATTCGGTGAATAATAAATTATGTAACTTTTGCTCTGTTTGTTTGGTTTAATTAACTATTTTTCTCTACATATAAGTAAATTTTCTTTCTATTGAATACAATATAAAATACGACACATGAACTTATTACTATGATGGAAAATTGACATTTATGTAGTACTGTATGATAATACTGTATTTCCATACAATTAGTCATTTTTATTTTGTAGCCAAACCGTTGTTAATTAATTAGAATTAGTTTTATTTTTTCTTTCGAAGAAAAGACAAATATCATTCTTCTAGTAATCATAAACATCAGTGGTGTATGAAATTGTTCAATCAATGATCACCTATCAATCAAACTTTGTTGTGTATGTTGGGAAAATTGCACATCTTTGTTTAAACATACATCTATGGGTATATATATATAATTAAGGGATGACCTGTTTGAATATCTGGGCTACCTGTTCCTGCCATCTGTATATTTCAACAAGTTATCTGTTTTTTGTTTGTTTTATCACATCATCATTTCTATCAATCGTATAACGTATTCAGGTGTGTTTATGAAAAGTTTACGACCTTTCGCTATGCAAGTTACAAAAAAGCCCAGTCAGAGATATCGTGGTTGCTGGCAATATGTGTCGAAAAGAATTTACATTATTCCTCAACTTCTAACTGGCAACCACCCAATATTTATCGTTAGGAGTGTCAAACAATTATTTATTCTGATGTATAACGTTTGCATCGATCATTATCTATCGTGTCAAGACATTCTTATCTGTCCACACTTGCACTTATATAAGAAAAAAAATTAAAGGGAAGCTTTGCACATTCGAATCAAGTCATAGTCGTGTTGTCAGTTGTGGATTACCAGGTTGAATTCTGCGCGATCGTCATAACCAGTGGTTTGATACGTTGGGCTACATGAATCGGTCTTAACAGTGCAGATGTATCCACTCTTCCCTTTGTTTTTGAGTCTCGAAATTTTTTGTTACTTTGTTATTCCATGAATTTGTGCTTTTCTCTCAAATAATTTTGTCTGTCTAATATTTTCTACTACCACTGATACTGTTCAAAATGCGACTACCCCTGGCATTTGACTCGCTGATTTCATCTTGCTGTTGTGATATGGTGTGGCTAATTGGGCCGACGCATCAGGTTCTACATTGCGTATGTCTGTCATCGATTGCTGAATTCAACCATTTTGGGAGATACCGACTTAGTAGTTGAGGTGTATGCAATAATCGTTATCAATCTCTAGAAGGGTTGAGTGAAATCTGAGAATATATTATGTGATTGTTGATTATTATCACACTGTATCCTATTTCCAAACTATAGAGAAATTAGACATTGATATGTACCATTCAATTCATTTATTGACTGCAGAGTAATTATTTTACAAATCAGTGCTTCCTTTTTATTACTGCTAATTATTGAACACCCAAATCAATGCACTATTTTGCTTGGTGGATATACTACACAGGTATTATGATTGATATTATAATTATTATCCATACCAAAATATTGATCATTGACTAACTATGTATTCATTGACCCATACTCAAAGCATGTTTATTATACTCACTTAGTTTTTAATCAAACTACCAAATTGCTGATCGAATAAAGTTTCACATAGTGGAATTTAATTTCATGTATATTTTATAAATCGATGTATAGTATGAATAAATCTTTACCATGAATCTGTTTTTCTATAAGTTTTGATCACATTATCCTTTGTTTATTGATTTCCTTATTTTGTACACTTATACCTTCTTTCTCCTTGCTTGTGTAGTTGTATTTTTTGTATAACAGTTTCTTTTACTAATCTTATTTTTTTCAATCTGCCTGGCATATCTATTTGTAATAAACGTCCTTCTAAAAGATTTTTCGTGGGAATTAATATTTTTTCATTATCAATTTTGTTTTTGTACTTTCTATCACCTAAACTTTTATTTCGCTTGCTTTTTTATACTCTTTTCTAGGATCAGAAAGGACAATTATACCAGATTGGAATTAATAGAGATGGATTAATTATTCATCAAGAATTTGTTGAGTCTTTATCAACACGTTTCAATTGGTTAGTTTAACTTTGAATAATAATATTTATTATTATTATTGTTATTATGAGTAATATTTTCGATTGTGTGTAGTAGAATTGTGGTGTAGAGCTATTAGCATTTCTCGACAGACAATTCTCAACCAAATAAAGCATTGTGTTCAGCTTTGTTTTATACTTGTACAGGTGAATTCAATAAAAAAATAGACGGTACCAAGATATAATCTAGTAACAATTTTAAAGGATATGTAATGACAGAGCCTATGTATGTCAACAAACTTATCTATACGATAATTGCTGTGATCTCCGAACACAAGTTATTATTCTTTTGTGTCGTATTTTCGTTTTTGAAGTGTACTTCTTATGTTCAAATTTTCATTTCTCTTAAATGTTATTTCCCAACCAACCTATGCCTCTTATCTGGTTGATTTTCCGTTATTGTGTTGGTGCAGCCAACATTGATAATTAAATCAAATTCGAACAGAATGACATAAGTAATTGAAATAACATTTGAGCTTTCCCTTATTTTCATCTATAAACTTGAACATAGCTAGCATATTGTATTTGTTACCTTTTTGTTTCCGTTATGGTTGATTTATTTATTTGAACACAAATATTGGTACAAAGGGGAACCAGATACATATGCACCGCACAATAACAGTGAAAATGTGAAGAGATAAAGTATGTGAGGTGCGTATAAGAAAATGGGGAACAATAACGAGCAGAAATTAGTGTATGATAGTAAAATAATAGTTATCGGAGAAGCAGTTCAGTTAGCAAAGATACAACTGGAAAGAATTCTTCCAGTTAAAGAAGTTACGTCCACTTTCTATAAAGAAGTAGAATAAAGTTACAGCAAGAACGCCACTGGCTACTATTCTGAGCCATATCTGATGATGTCTCTAGCCACTGTGTTGTACCATCTCTAGGACCCCAACCATGGAGTCGTGAAGGATCAACAGAAGCCAATCCTGTACAGATTTCTTTCATACCGTGAAACCGTGTCATACACTGACAACCTCTCCGCTTTTTCTAACCAGTTCCAGCGTCGGCAAATAATGCACGATGTGGAATTTTCCGGGACGACATTCATCACTCACGCCACCATCAGCACTTATGCAGCCACTCAGATACACGAACTTCTCAACTACTTCTATCTGCTCACTATTCAGCGTGAGTACAGGATTAGTATCCTACCAATCTTGTATAAGTATTTTGTACTTAGAAGGTGCAAAGCACATACCATACCTACGGACACTGATTGCCAACTGATTAAGTGCGGATTGCATGGCTTGGGTATTATCGCACAGTAAGACAATATCATCAGGATACCCAAAGTCAGGCAACAGATCCACACTGCCATTACTTACATCCATCAGAGCTGTTTCCAGAATGTCATCGATGGCAAAACTGACGAGGAATGATGAGATTGGACAACCCTACCTAACCCCACTGCTCGAATGGAACAACGGAGAGAGGTGGTTGTATGCCCTCACTCTTCCTGAGGTGTTTGTATATAGGGCTTTTAGGATGTTAATAAACTTTTCAGGCACACCCTTCTTCAATGGATAATCCCAGAGAACAATCCTGTCTAACGAATCGAAGGCAGCCCTGATGTCTGGAAACACTACGATTGTTGGCCTGTGATGAGTATGACGGTGTTCTGACATTTGGCGGAGGGTGAAGATATGAACAACACATCCTCGACAAAAACGAAAGCCAACCTACTTCTTGCGAGTCAATCTTTCTTGGGTTTTGAACAATCTACGAAGTATAACGGAAGCCAATAGTTTGGATGCAATCGGAAGTAGACTTATGATCCGATAGTTGTTACAGAAACGACGTGAACCCACCATCTTTAAAAAGAGCCGAAGGTAAGTCATATGGGCCCGGTGATTTGTAGCGCTTCGAGATTCGGGGTTCCTTGCGGACTTCCGCATCATTTAGTGGTCCTCACAGACCATGGACGACAGGACAGTCTGACCGGTGTTGCCGGGGCAGCAGACCAGTTGAACTTTTTCAAAAGCTCTGCCCGTCGTCCAAGACATCGATGGATGTTAGTGGTTGACATCTTCACAGATTTTTTCGATCACACCAGACTTCTTGCTGCCAGTGGCTCGGATGCGTTGAAAGAGCTTCTGGCAGTTACCAGATGCAGCTTCTGCCTCCAACTCATTGGCACACTCCGACCACCGTGCTTCTCGGTCCTGATGCAAGCTCTTCCCAATTTCATTACGTATATATATATATATATATATATATATATATATATATATATATATATATATATATATATATATATATATATATATATATATATATATATATATATATATATATATATATATAATGTCCGCTCCCTTGTTTCCCCTTATGATAGTTCCGCTTTGTAATCATGTGATTACTAGCAACTTGAAACAAACGATTTTCATATCATGTATATGCCCGTTTGTTTAGTAGAAAATAAGAAATTGTTCATTTTATAGCTAATTGATATTTATGGTAATATCTGACTTCAAACAATCCATGATATTGCACAGTCTTTCATCCATTGCCAGTTGTAGATAGCCATCTTACACACACGATCGAACTGTACTGATCATGTCTTCTCACTAGAACTAGATGCTTGTTATACTCTCACATACCATTGTTTAGATATTGTCGCTGTGACTTGTTTGCTTTCATACGCAAAATAATTGTTATGCACTTTTGATGTCCTCTGGATAACAACATTTTCAGTTATATATACGTTTGTACAATTACATAGCAATGTTATTAATTTTGTTAAACGTGACCTTATTATGACGTTCTTACTACAATGTTGTTAAAAGGGCCTTTGTAACCTTTGATAAATTGCGATCAAACTGCCATATGATGTGATTATCTTTATTATTGTTGGTGTTTTTGTAAAATGTGATGATTTCGGACACTGATTCATCATTTTTAATTTAGTATGGATTCATGGTTAATGTGTGTTATCGAGTTTATTACTTGTTAAACTGGCCTGGTTAATTAAAATACAGATACCAATCATGAACACTGATATTGGTTATTGTTCGAAAACCCCAGTACACCTTACAATACCTACGTACTACGTCATTTTTATCCTCAGTGATCCTAGTACTATGATTGTACCATACGTACATGAAAATAATCAACAAACATCTATAGTTAGTTTCACTTCAGTTCTGTGCTGCTTACTCATCATGACTTGATAGAAGTCTCTTGAATAACTTTGAAAGAGTAAATTAATCAATTTTAATGTTATTTTTCTCTATCCCGTGATAAAATATTGAAATTGAACATAGGGTATCTATTCACTGATTTTTACTTCGCCAGTAAAATTGGAAGTTGGAATCGAAATCGTTTAAATTTGATTAACAACTTTAACGATAATCCGACTTTTCACAAGTTGAAATCATGAGCCAATCAAAACTAGACCACCATGGAAAACCTGGAAGCACTGGACAGCCGTTTCGTACCATTGATGTGTGCTGTGTCTTCGAAACACGCATAGAGGGTCCCAGTGTGGTCATTCACTTGACCTCACCTCGGCGAAACGGAGAGCCAACGATATACACCCTCCGTGTATCTGGTGACCCGATGGCCAGTTCTCGTGGACTGGCAGGAGTAGGGATAGCACTAAGCATGAGGGCTGAACAAGCACTTTTAGAGTGGATCCCCGTCAACAGTCGTCTATGTGCTGTCCGGCTAAACGGCTCCGTAAGAACTCGGAAGGATAGGGACACACGTCTTTGCCTTTTTGTCGTTTCTGTCTACGCTCCCACCGACTGCAGCTCAGATGAAGTGAAGGATGAATTTTACAGTAAGCTATCTGAACTTCTTCAGAAAGCTAAACGTTCAGACATAGTACTCGTAGCAGGTGACTTTAATGCTCCGATAGGCAGTTTAAACCAAACAGAAAGGCATTTAGGTGGGTATTTTAGTATACCGGCACAACGAACAGATAATGGTGATCGTCTGCTGCAACTATGCTCAGACAATCGTTTATTTTTAGCAAACACAAATTTTAAGCATAAGGAAAGACATCGTCTAACATGGCGACCCCCTACACCAAACCAACGATGGACTCAAATAGACTATATTGCCATCAGTCATCGTTGGAGAGGGTCGGTAGAAGATTGTCGCTCATTCTGGAGTACCTGCTTGGACTCCGACCACGCCCTAATACGGGCACGCATCTGCTTGCGCCTCACTGGACGCAAAAAAGCCACATTAAAAAGACCCATTAGAACTAAGTTGAGTAACGAGAAAACCAAAAGTAAGTTCCAGGAACAACTGAGGTCACACTTAGGTAGTTCTGAAGACAAGGCTGACCCAGATGTTGCTTGGAAAGATATAAAAACAGCTGTGGAAACAGCAATGAAATCTATTAGTGACTTAACCCACAGAGTTACAAAGAACCAGTGGATTTCTTCAAGGTCTATCACACTAATGGATTCTCGCAAACTCGTCCCATCAGGTTCTGAACATGATGAAAAGCGTAAAGAAATCATATCTAGGTTAAGAAAAAGTCTAAGAAACGACCGTGAGCAGTGGTGGGCAACGAAAGCAAAAGAGATGGAAAAGGCAGCGATATAGGGAACACAAGACAGCTTTACAGACTAATAAAAGAAACTGGAACGAATAAGTCAAGTGTAAGCGAGATTATGTCGGAAAAAGACGATACTCTCATCTGCTCCCAGTCCAGGCGTTTAGAACGATGGGCGGAACATTTTAGGGAACAGTTCAGCTGACCTTCAGCGACTCTACAACTTCTCTCCATTCCCAGACAATGTGAATGGAACATTGAAGTAGGTCCCCCAACTCTTGCTGAAGTTGAGAAGGCTATAGTTAATCTGAAACGAGGAAGGGCAGCTGGTCCAGATGGATTGGCTCCAGAAGTCTTTAAGGATGGTGGTCCAATTTTAGCGGTTAGGTTGATTAATATTTTAGCTAAGATCTGACTGGTCGCCATCACTTATCGTCCCAATATATAAGAAAGGATCAAAATCATCTTG